TTTTGCCTTTTCACTTCTTTCTATAGGTAACGCTGGGATAACATTCATGCTTGAATCATGAAATGTTGATGGAACTAGTAAGTTATGTTTGTTAGCGATTCACTATTACATATTTGCGAATGATGGAACCAAGATGTGCATGAGTTGTCATTCGATTTTTCTAATACAAAATATACATATTAGCTGTACCTATCACAATAATGTACAAATGTTAGAGGATGATAAAATACGATTTATTTTTAAGCCAAAAAAGCAACTAGATTGCCTGAGTGGGTAGTTTCGGTACAGGCATTAACTATAGTTTACAGTGTTCTCATTTGATAATGCATTTAGAAATTACTGCAGGGTTAAATGTCAATAGACTATTCTAAATTTTAAAAGTTTTGCGTTGTTACAGTAACTTCTAATAATTGATCATAGATGGTGCTAATGTTCAATACACCATTTAACAGAACTTTATTCTTGTTTTTGTAAAGAACAAACATACACAATAGGCTGTCTGTATTCTTTCCATTGTGCGTATCGAAACTCGATTTTTAGTGTTATAAGCCCACTGACTTACCGCTGAGCTACCGGGAGTTACGATGCTCAAAGTTCCAGCACTAATGTTATTACATTACTTCGTATATTGCATGTTGTAGTGAGAAGCAAGATTTAGATGGCGACTTCGGTAAATTGAAACTTTTGATCTTGGAGCTAATAAATTCCATTGCTGTAAATGAGAGCTAAGAAGTTCCCTATGCTGCTTTGATAAAAACAAGTCACGAATCAGACCATTCAGATCTTCTTATGTGATCAGTTGAGGTAGCTTATGTTGAGGTGCTACAGCGAGGCGAGGTAACCAAATGAGTGAGGGAGAAGCAACTGAGAGAAATGACTTCGCCCATTTTATGCTCAGACTTCTCAGATGTTCTAGCAAACTGAGCATGACCGAGTTTTGTGATTCACGGGCAGAGCAGGTGAGCGTGAAACGAAAGAAATGAAATTCGCTACAATTATATCAAGAACAAATAGCATATATGAACAATATATTTGGAATTTTACTCCAATACAATACAGTCAATATCATAAGTTACCAAAAATGTATGTCTTTTACCCATTAAACTGTCCAATTAAACTTCATTTCACAGCATAAATCTACTGTACTGTGTTGATTGTATGGTATTTCACATAACACTGATAAAATATTGAGATATTAGAATAACTCAAAATCTAAAGGTGATGGACAATTTCTGAGTACATTTTTGAAATCAGCACCATCAAATTACCTCGAATCACTTGAGGTTACTCAAGTAGAAAATTTTTTGTTGTCCAGTGTAACTGCATTAAGTGGCCAGCGTATGTAGTTGGACATCCTAACCTCTTTGCACTACACCACGTCCATTTTATATATTTATTTATTATACCTTAGTAGCGAATAGAAGTAATCCAGTTACCAAGGTCAAGTGCTGAAAAGAAGTTATGGTGGTACTGTACCTCCATCTAGTGTTGTTAACTGTATTATATTTATTAAATCAATTAAAAAAACTACAAAACCATTATAATGGTGCTTCGCCTGATATAAATGTTTTGCCGAAATTGAAACAAGCTTAAAATCACATTTTCTAAGTTTAACAAATTTAAAACATACATATCTCACATACGGAACATAAAATAATAAACATGCACGCATAATGAATCGTTTGGTTCTGAGAAGCTTTTTCTTTACTTTTCTTTCGTTTGAGTCTAGATATCTTGTACTTTGTTATCCATACTTCGTTGAGTTTACAGATATACCCTGATGTTACTCATACCTTGTTAATCCTATTGATATATCATAATGTTACTCATACCTTATTGAACCTATAGATACATCATCATGTTATTAATACCTTGTTGATCCAATAGATATATCATGATGTTACTCATACCTTATTGAGCCTATGGATACATCATGCTGTTACTCATACCTTGTTGATCCTATAGATATATCATGATGTTACTCATACCTTGTTGATCGTAGATATATATCAAGAAGTTACTCATATCTTTTTCGTCCTACAGATACATCATCATGTTACTCATACCTTGCCAATAATAAATGTTTACCTAGTAAACCTTGACACATGTGTGTAGAAGAGGTAATGATGCTATATTGTCGCTTTTGCATTACTTCACAGTGTGCAAGTGGCAAGTGTGAGATTAATTAAAATTAAAATATAACTTAATACAATGCTTAATGTTTCCTCTTCACCTTTTTGCTATTACATCACAAAAATAACACAGAACAGAAACTATAGGATATTAGATAACCTACATATTGATTAATATACTAGAAAAATAAATAAATAAACAAATTAGATAAAATATTCACGTTGGTGTGTACAGCTGATGTGAGGAAAATGAGAGAAAGTAATCGTCTCCTGATGTAGAAGAAGGAAAAAATAAAAACGAAAATAATAACCATCACTGGTTGTATATGATGGTGAAATAAAAACTAGAGAAAACTAGCCGTGACTGGATGTAGAAGGAGTAGAAAATGAAATGGAAAATTCGGAATGCTTGTTTCCTTTGCTGCTGCACATCACTATAATTTACCTGAACAATATATGTGAAAAGTAGGGTGGAAAACATATAGAATCAATAATAATGTTTATGCATTCATTTTCTATGAAGGTAGCATAATTACAGATATTTTAATGCTTCACGAAGAAAAACGTTTTTCGTGTTTTCACAATATATATACTTAATATTTTTATGCACATTTCAGATGAAGATGAAATGTTATTCAAAATTCACGAGAATTTTGTAGTTACCGGTCCTCAGATCATTAAAGTTTAGCTCTTATTTTTCAAGCTCAGTAATTAGCTTGCGGGCTGTGGATCCGAGGTTACGTGGTTTGCGCCCTATTACCATTGGAAAAAAAATCGTACTCCATACTTTGTAACAGTGGTTGCGTCATAAGAACGACAGTCAAATCCTACTATTCGATTAAAGTAGCTCACAACTTACTGGTGGATGATGTTGACTAGTTGTCTTCCCTCTAGTCTATCATTTCAAAATTAGGGACGAATGGCGCAGGTAGCCCTCGAGTAGCTCTGCGTGATATTTAACAAAAACCATCAACCTATTATTTTTTAAACCGTGGATATGTTCTGTACTTCTTTTGGTAGCCACTTGGCTTGCATTGGTTTCATTAATTTTCGCTTTATGTATTTCACCTATGTATCATCGTTACGTTATCTCATCATCATTAGTGCACTTCCAAAATATAACCCGAGTAATATCACTTTTTGAAAGGTTTATCAGATATGAACAGAGGTGTATAAGTTAAGGCAAACCCAGCAGACGTCGTTTCCAGTTTGTCATTTGCGTGTCGACTTTATAGTTTAACAATGAAACACTGAGCAATTATCGGGTATCAATTTCAGCTGAGATGTACACTCTCTAGATGTGCATGCTTCAATCGTATCTACGTAATATTGACTTTGAATGTTGTTTGATGTCACAGACGTTTCTAACTGTGTCGGCAAATGCATGGCTAGGTACGTGTTTTGGTGATCAAATAAGGAGTCAGATCTGGGCTCTTCATCTGTATCCATGGTCCTGAATTTTGCCCACAAAAAATAATAATAATAAGTTGAATTATTATCTCCAATGTTAAATTTCTTATTCAGATCAAACACTTGATTTCAATAGTTAACTCAAAAAATCTGAAATACGTAAAAGCAAGTTCTTATGGTTATTGACAGCTCTACATGTAGCATGAAATAAAAACTGAAGAAACCTAGTAAAAGTACCTTGTACTTATCCCAGCCTATGGCATGGGTTGTGGAACTGTTTACAAATTAAACTCAAGATCACTTTAATTTTCACGATAAAAGTTGCTAAAAGCATCGATCTTATCATCTTACGAAAACTTTTTAATCAAGTATGAAGTATTGAAGAAGAACTTAAACACTGTAGAACTGGGAAACTACTGACATTTTGATTATGAATACAAGTACGTTGTACTTCAGTACAAGTTTGGAAATCGGTAAAAGGAATTCTGGGAAAGGAACTGATTTAAAACAAAACATATAACTGATATACGTGATTTGTTATAGTAACTTAAACTTTTATTCTTCAGAAACAACCTATCTTGACGTTGGTCTGCAAAATATGCATAATACTTCAAATATCTTAGTCTTAACAAGGAAAATGGTAATTAATTAAAAAGATATATCTGTAACACAAATAATTCAAAATCTGGGATAAGCATGTGATTTGGAAGAATCTATATTATTCAGTATTCTTAAATTTAAACGCTTTAACATAAAATGTTAAAATAGTTCAACTGGTAAGTAATTATTTATTTAATTATTTCTAAATAGACAACATAATCCTGGTATTTCTGCGTAGACCACGTACTTTATGAATTTATTCAATAAATGCTCCTATTTCATTCTAATATTGCTGTTAATATAACCTTAAAATTACTATATTTCAATAGAATATGAATATTTAAGCTATTTTCCATTTCTAAATGACATTCTAGGACAATCTAAGCCTTTTCTATAACAAGATTATTTTCTTATATGGTGTATTTCTTTGATATACTGTAACTAGATAACAAACAGTGAATAAACGTCTATATAAAAACATGTGGAAATACCAACTTTGCCAATGACGTCTGTGAGGTGGAAAATCTTTGAAGTAAATGGGAAAATAAAATTATATGAATGATATTAGTTTCTAGAATTTGACGAGCCTATAGAAACTCGATTCATTTTCATCATGATGCTCAACAAAAAAAGCATGCAAGTCCGTTTTAAACTATAAATATTACTCGTTTTTATTACGTTTTAATATCTGAAATACAAAATAGAACGCTATGTGATACACTGCAGATAATGGAGTGAGTTTATTTACGAAAAGCAAGATTTCATTATCTCCCAGTAACGCATCATACGATAAAAACACATGGTGTGTACGAAATCAATAAGATGGGAAACGCACATGTAATGTTTTGATAAAAGTGTGTTTCATACCATCTTATGCGTATTTATAGCTTCAACCAGCTATCAAGAAGTAGAAAAAAGTGTGAACGATCACAAGTCATGAAAACGTTCTTTCTAATAGTGCTGTGGGTTTCTTATTGCTCGGGTTTTCAGTTTGAAGACTGTGGTGAGTAATTACTTAAGTCAATCACTACTTTTTCAAAATCTCGAAATACTTTTTTTTAACGAAGCTGTTCCAAATCATCAAAACAAAATATAAGATATCAAAATTGCACTTTGAGTCTGCTATTCCTGAATTTTGTTTGAAGCACGACAACTTTACACGGGTTTTCTTTAAACCTATGATACGTTTGTAGCTATTCATGTTGCCCAGGGAACCGACCTGAGGCTTTTTTAGTTCTCTGTGTTGCCCATGAATTGACTTCGGACTTTGTAGCTATCCACATTGTCCAGTTAATCGACCATAGGCTTTGTAGTAAACTACGTTGTCCAGAGAGTTTATCTCAGGCTTATTAGTTATCCACGTTGTCCAGTTAATCAACCATAGGCTTTGTAGTTAACTATGTTGTCCAGAGAATTTATCTCAGGATTTGTAGTTATCCATGTTGCTCATGAAATCGACCACAGGCTTTGTAGTTAACTATGTTGCTCAAGGAATTGACCTCAAGATTTTAGATTATCCATCTTGCTTGTCCAATTGATCTCAGGCTTTGAAGTTATCCATGTTGCCCAGGGGTTCAACCTCATGTTTTACAGTTGCTAATGCCTCCCAACGAATCGACCTTAAGCTATCTAATTATCAATATTGCCCAGAGTATCCACCATACTTTACAATCATCAATACTTTTAACAAATAAAATCATTTGAAAACGGGGTATATACGTATATGTTTAGATTATTCAAACCTCTTCTCTTATTTGTATTTATTATTTTATCTCTTAAACAATTTTTGCCATGCATCTGGGCCTTTCTAGTATATATATATTATCTTATCAGCAAAAGCGTTATATCATTTTATAATCCTCCAATAGTCTTCAATTGGAATGATCCAGGCAATTCATGGTAATTATAAAAATACATATTTTTGTTGGACTTTAGATATTAAAAGGAGAAAATGATTACCATATCAAAAACTCTTATTCAGAGAATGATTGATGTCGTATTAAATTGTATGAAAAAATGTAAAATTTCAAGCTATGATTGTAAATTTTCATTCTTCTAGTGATAAATATTAAGTAAATCTGAAACAAAATATTCAATTCAACAGTCACTACACAAACATAGAACAACAAAACACTCAAAAGTTATCGAACAAAACACTTAGTGTATTCGAAAAAGTATATCTCTTAAAATAAAGTACAGAAATAACTTTATTTCTCTATAACATAGAAGTAAATATTTTCCAATTAAAGCTTTCCTAAAGATCTTGGATTTTTCTTAAACAAAAAACTAAACTTAGAGAACAGAAAGTAGATATTGAATGCAGAAGTACGTTATCTTAAAACTACCTTGAATATGCAACTCAGCAAATCACGTGGCAACCACAGGCAACATAAAGAAATGGTGGAACGGAAATTATGGGTTGCTCCCTTCCGCTATTTTGAACTGTAGCACACGAACTGTTCGTCCGATGCGAAGATAACCATGCTTCTCACGCCATTAAACAACACTTTCGTATTTTTTACTGACCTCTGCGGTCAGGTGAGCCCTCATCCGCAGCATTAAGTAGATAACATTGAAAAGGCTGCCCAACCCGAACTGTTTGTCCGACTGCTTATTCGTAATAAATTTAATATTCGGGGAGTTCATGTGAATGTCTCTACCAAATTTCGTCGACATTGGTTCAGCCAGTTCCTTACAACAATTTGTGAAACTAGGCAGACAATGCTGTTTTCTATACATGTATATATTTAATTAATTGTTATTCTTACATACATGAATAAGTAATTCAAAGTCTTGCTTTAGAATTATTAAACGAAAAGAGAGCGCAATTAATCTGTAATCAAAACGCAAGATGTCCCAACGTCACGGTAACAGCATTCATTGCATTGTTAGTCGTATTACACTTGGTTTATTGTACGAAAGCTTTCCTCTGAGAACTAATCCAGATGTCTCAGCTTAGCACCTCCACAGTTATCGTGTGACAATTAAAATTTGTCATTCCAGTTCTCATAGAAATTTATGTATTTACCCACTCTAAGATAAAAGTGGACTCCAGAAATGTTAAGTTTAATATAATGTCAAAGAATAAATAACCACAGTAAAATATGTTACATTATCTATTTCTAAATAACGTATTAAAAAGAAGCTGACGTCTTCATTACGAGCAACTAATGCCCGGTTCAGCAGTAAAAGTGGATAAACGTTAGATGTGCATCGTCAGTAGTCAGAAAATTTTCAGTGAAATAAAGTTGAAATATTTTAATAAATGTTCTTTTTGTTTATTACTCAGCACAAAAACTATTAATTCTCTGGTAGCCGTGGGTATCGAAACTCGATTTTTAGCGTTATAAGTCCTCAAACTTAATGCTGAACCACCCGGTGACAAATAGATTTTATTGAAAGTCATTGTGAACTTGTTTCACAGTACTGGTACTTTAAAGCTATACAGACACGATAATGTATCAGTTTCACCAACTGGACAAACCCTTCTAAACTTTATTCACCTCTGACCTTTCTTCCATGGGCATATGTAAAAATCATTTCTTATTGGTTCATTTCTATCTTCGTTTTTCAAAACCGTTTATCACTGTATCACACCAACTGTTCTTGGAAGCTGAAAATACACCTTGATGTACATAATGTATAAAGTGAATATATAGTTACTCCCATTAGAGTTTATTAATTTATAACCAGGAAAATAAATACAAAAATATAATAAATCTGTTTATTTCGACAACTCCAGTAAAAAGTCTCCTAATATTCCATTCATATGCATAAAATAGCAAACTACATTTATATTTCCATTTCGCCGTTAAGGTTTTATTCAACTATATCATTATTGATAATTTTATAATCAATTATTTTAACTATGTAAAATTTGAATTGCTGAACATTCCCTTCAGGAGGAGCACAAAAAACTCTGTTTATTGAAGATTTAGATCTTACTCCATCTCCATTTACCGTCCCGGGAAACTTAAAGATGTCCGCTAGAGTTCGTGTCAGCAAACCAGTTCCAGCTAAAACGGTGGTCGATATTAAAATGATTAGAATATTGAACATTGTAGGCCAAAAGTTCAACTTAACTATTCCTTGTATCAAAAATCTTGGGTCGTGGTAAGTAATAAACTTTTTTTGGAAACCAGATTTTTGATAATATTCTTCTCGACACGTGGTTTTTTTAATTCTACTCGCTAAAAAATAAAACCCTTAAAAAGCCATTAATAAGAATATTTGGGTTCTTTCCGTTTATTTTATTTCGTGCAAATGTCTTCGATTCGTTAAGCATCAGAATTCTTTAGTATCCAATGATCATTCTTCGTTATGGTAAGTATCTTGTATACAAGAGGATAAAGCATATAGAATCTATTTTTACAGGGCTTAGAAAACTCAACATTTTGATATAAATTTAAACCAAAGTCAAGTATTTATTCTTGTATCTTCTCTTGAAAATATTGTTGCTATAATCAATTATTAGAATAAGGTAGAAAATCCCATTTTCAAAACTCTTTGCAAATAAGTAATTAACAGAAGTGAGCGTTTCTGAAGTTCAGACTAGGTCTACCAGGTTCAAAAACTTCAGTTCATGGCAATAATTTTATAAATTAGATAAATTAATTTTTTATTCTTCTGTCTTAAAACTGCTTTAGGGTAGGGTCACTTCGAACTGGAAGTAAAAAAAAAACTTTATTGAGTTTACTCTTAAATTAAAACTTTAAATTATATTTTCTTTAAGAAAAGTAAATAGTGTCACTTTTTCAACCAATATCCTCAGTTGCATGACGACATTTCACTTCACATTTAATGTCCCGCTAAGTGACTTAGAATTTTTTCAGCTGATAAATATCCAGTAACCAAGTAACAATGAAATGATTGAGAGTAATGATTTACTGGAACTGCAAATAATTGTGTATAATTTTATGTCATAGGAATAATATTTGTAAGAAGTTTTCACAATACAATAACTGGTTCTGGTTTATGGAAAACAAAAATGATTACACAAATTTTTGTAATGCTTGAATTGAGAAGTTCATTTTAATAAATATAACTTGGTGATTTAGTAAGCTAGCAGCCTGTGACATGTTAAAAGAGCACATGAATAGAGTATGCAGTCTGTGGCCTGAAGGTAAACCTTGTGAATGTCCCATTGCTGCTGGAGTATATGAGGGAAAGGGTCTGAACTTTCCCTTGCCTGACTTTGGACCTCTACTATCTCAACTTGCTGCCGTAAGTTATGCTCTTTAGTTAATTTGTTTCTGTTTTAGCATAAAACTGCACACTTGACATCTGCACTATATTCGCGGTGATAGAATCCAGAATTCTAGTGTTATAATCTCTTAAGCATACTGCTGAGTCACCAAAAGACTGCTGTTTGGATAATTTTGGTTATTAAAAAGATAATTATTTAATCATAAAGCATATGCACATACGCGGATTCTACACACCTGTCTCTTCACATGAGTGATACATCATACGGACCTCACATGTGTACATACATATCACATACTTGGCTCCCTCTCATGTACGTATACACTTATCTGATATGACGTCACGATGATTCCTTGTTGTTCATGGTACCATTAACGGAGATAAATATCCTAATGTGTATCATATTTAAAGGTTTGGTTAACGTAGTTTGACTTTACGTTTTACGTTCTATAGTCTCAGTTATATCATTCGATAGTGCGATGTACAGACAAAACAAATCCCTGGTTTATCGATTCCCAGTCAACCAGTATTCTTGTCTAAAGTAACTTCACTTGAATCCTTATAAAATGAAAAAAAAAACAAGTACACTTCAGTCCAGTTGCTGAAATGCTTCACGCTCGTCAGGTGTAGGTGGTGTGATTTATATGTTGGCCAGTGATGAAGAATGACAGCTTTTCATTTTTTACGTCCTAGGAAACTATATCACATACCACATATTTACTGGTTCCTCTGATCTCTTAAATGTAAACAGCTATCAGATATGAATGGTACTCTTTGCTGGATCTAACATATCTGTTCTCTGCATCACGTTTAACTCCCCGTTATATATTTACACACACTAATTGTAACACTAGGATAAAGCTGTTGACAAATTTTAGATGTTGACGACTGGCTTCTTAACACAGAGAACATTTTAAAAAGTAAACAACATGACTGTTACTGGTGGCGGTAAGTTCAGGCACACAGTGGAACAAGATGAAATGTTTACCATTGATAATACTTACTATTTGTTATCTTTTTACATACCGGTAATGATCGTAGGTGGACCCTGCGAGTACACACGCCAATTTGAAAAAAAAATTGGTTAATATATTTACTTTCAACACTAATGGAAATAGCAACGTTAAACTGTTATTTATTTATAGATGTGTTATTAACACCAATCATCTAATATTTCACCTCATCTCATTCTAAACTACAGTTTAAATGTAATTATATTAAACAGTTGGAAAATTATTATATTATTGGAACCTGAAAACAAAACATAAATATGATGTATGTTTTTTACATTCCTCGAATTTCAGGGAGACTACCATTTAGAGATGAGAGCACGTGACCTGCAGACAGATGTCGAAATTGGATGTATGAGAATCAGCATGAGTATTAAATCTATCTCAAGAAAATACTGATTTGACTCAGTACACGATGACTGATTTGCCCATCATCTGTCTCTGTATGATTCCATGTGTTATATTACTGTTATAGACGTTAGTAATTTTGTGAATATTTAATAAATAAGAGTTACACCAAAATATTTGTAAATTTTGAACTCACTGGAATACAAATTTTGAAATAATGAATAAAAATATCATTATACGTTTGAGCATAAAGTACGCTAATAAAATGTACAACTCATGTGTGTGTCCTAAACCGATAGAAAAGAACAAATAAATGTGACATTCTAAAAATACACTCATTCCATTGTATAAAACTATAAAAACAATAACTATTGTTTATACGAACAACTTGCCTATAAATATTTTGTCATTGTCGCTCTCTATAATCATAAAATTAAAAATTAACCTAAAAGCTTGACTAATAGTTTATACATTTTTTATCTTTTTTTTTCTTCTGAAGAACTTGTTATGATAGTGTCAAAATCGGTTCATAGTCTGCCAGAAATACATCCCAATTTCCCAATAAGTTGAATTTACTTTCTCATACGAAACTTTAGTATCTTTGTTTGCTTGATTCTCCATAGCAGGTATATATATATATATATACATATATATATGTATTAAAACTACATATCACCAAATGTATATTAAGACCTAAGAAAACGCAATTAACGGTAGAAAAAGAACAATATTAGCATCACTGTATGATGAACATAGTTAAGTAGCCAAATGTGATCACAAAATACAAACTTTTTATAGAGATCTTAGTGGCAAAAACGATCTTTCTGTATATTCAATACCAACCTATTTATGATTATATGTTTCAATATATGAATTTTTAAATAGGGCAATTACTTTTATGAGTTTTAAGTAATTCATAGAATAGTACACATTATGAATCTACGTAATTTTAAAGATTCTATGATGCATTTTATTATCTAATATTATATAAAGCTAAGTTTGTGTCTGTTTGTTCGCACCTTTCAGCCATTTGTTGCTTATACCTTTCTACATTTCTTGATCAATTAACACCAAACTTGACACAGTGATATAGGATGACATGAAGAAGGTCATGAAGAGGGTTGGGGTTGGACCCCTCCCCCCATCTTCTATATAAATAAACGTCGATATGTGTGCATGTATCTGTTCCTTATACGTTTCCACATCTCTTGATCAATGAGCACCCAATTTGACACAGTGATACAGGATGAAATGAGGAAGGTCATGAGGGGGGCTTGGACCCCCTCATCTAATTTCATATTGATAGAATTATTGAAAACAGTATGTCTTGCTTTTCAGTATTGGTACATTTATGTATTTTTAACGTTTATTATGCTAAGAAAAAATAGAAACACATTTGCCTATCCTTTGTTACAAACGGGTTTTTATTTCACCCGCCCAACGGACGGATACTCCAACTAGTAACATATTAAAAATTAAAAACACACGTTTTCCAGTTTTCAAATGATAAAATACCAAAAGAAACTAGTGTTCAAATCCTTTACTTTTTTAACATAGATTACAATAGATATGTTTAGAAGTATGTAAATAAACATCTACAAATAATAAACCAGTCATTTCTAGTGAAGAAACAGAATATGGCTTTAAAAGTCTAGCAATATTTGGAGACTAACAAATTAAGAAGTAAAATCTAATTTTTGAGGTGGTATTCAAACTTCATTCATTATATTATAAAATCCCAATATTATTCAAATTGTAAAGCTAAAAAATACGGATCAGAAAAATATCTTGAACCAGAAAGTAAAAAACAGAAATGTCAATACTATTCACGTTACTACTTATATTAATCCTCGCTGTCTTAAGCTAAGAAACATGCTTAAAAAGATTCTACATCTTGTATTTCCACTGATATCTGTGAGATTTGGACTTAAGCCACATATTTGTTTGAAAACCTAGTTTATTTTCGCTATGGTCAAGATTAAGTTGGATCGACTGTTGTCGGTTTGTCTATACGTATGAAAATACCTCAAAGTGTGTGAAGTGAATCAATCAGTAAAATTGTTCAGGCTATTTGTCTTTACGTATAAAAGTACCTCAAAGTGTGTGAAGTGAATCAATCAGAATAATTGTTCGGGATGTTTGTCTATAAGTATAAAAGTATCTCAAAGTGTGTGAAGTGAATCAATCAGAATAATTGTTCAGGCTATTTGTCTTTACGTATAAACATATCTGAACGTTAATGAAATGAATCAAGCAGAATAATTGTTCGGAATGTTTGTCTATACGTATAAAAGTACCTCAAAGTGTGTGAAGTGAATCAATCAGAAAAATTGTTCAGGCTATTTGTCTTTACGTATAAAAAATATCTGAACGTTAATGAAATGAATCAAGCAGAATAATTGTTCGGGATGTTTGTCTATACGTATGAAAGTACCTCAAAGTGTGTTAAGTGAATCAATCAGAAAAATTGTTCAGGCTATTTGTCTTTACGTATAAAAAATATCTGAACGTTAATGAAATGAATCAAGCAGAATAATTGTTCGGGATGTTTGTCTACACGTATGATAAAAATCTGAAGGTTCTGAAGTGAATTAGTCACGGAAGACTAAACTTTTTCAATTTATAAGTTTATTGCATCCTTCGCCTGTTAAAACATGAACGTTCTCTGTGACAAAGGTAAGCATAGATACTAGCTAAAGAAATGATTTTGAAGTTACTTACAGTACTTATGAAACTTTGACAAATATTCTGAACACCTATCGTAATTCTCAGTACACACATAACTGATAAAAAAACGACAGTCTGTCTTTGTTACGCTAAGGTATAACCATGTATTTAACAATATTTTACATCGTCTCTTGAAGTGTTGATGAGCCATAACATTGAAAGTGAAGTAATGTTTTATCACTGACCTAATATGAAGCTAGTATAACAGCCCGGCAAAAATGACGGGAAACCAAAGCCTACCAAATATGAATCCTCTAATATACATTTGAAACTTTGCCGCCCGTAAACAGACCTAAGAAAAATAAAGGGCCTTCTAGTCCCCGAGCCAATCTTCTGTTTCTTTCTGCTGATGTTTCCATTATTCAACTTCAAAAATGGTTCTGTAGTTATTCTGCAGTCTTGAGTCTGTCATACGCTATTCTAGTCTTATCTATATTTCATCAGTGAGTGACCGTTTAGGTAACTGGATGTCAAATATAAATTCTGACGTAAGTTCGACTTCGTCGTCCAGGGAAGACCATCTTTTGAGATTGGAAAACGTTTTCTGGCGTAACTCGACAATTTAACAAAGATACGCTTTCCAATTGCGAAAAAGGTGCAATTATTTTGTACATTTAAGTCCAAGTATATCTTTAATTTTCGATCAATCCTAGACTACTCGCTTCTAATTGACAGGAAGCCAAACTACTTAAATTACGTAATAAGTTGCTATGACATCAGTGCGTGACCGAGAGACAGACAAACAGATACACACTGTGTTTTATAGTATTAGATAATTCAACCTCATTCGTTATTTACATAAATACTAATGTTCAGTGGAAAGAGACGGTGTTTAATTTGATTAAAAAATGGAAAACTTTCCAACGTCTCGATAACGAGCTGAACTATCAGCAATTATAATATCTATGTGTGTTTAACTATACGAAACTGTGCATTGAGAATTAATCCGGATGCTCTAACTTATCACTGCCATCGTGAGATGATGATCATCATATGAGGACCTTACAACGAGCACGTTGTCACCATGACTGAAATTACAGTTATTGTACAAAAAACAATCAAACTGAACAATTAAAACTATTTCATCCAATAGAGATTTTGTTGTTGTTGAATTTCAAGAAGAACTACTCTAGGGCTATCTGCGCTAGCCGTTCTTAATTCAAATTGAACAATTAAAACTAAATCATCCAATAGAGAGTTTGTTGTTGTTGAATTTCACGAAGAGTTACTCTAGGGCTATCTGCGCTAGCCGTCCTTAATTCAAATTGAACAATTAAAACTAAATCATCCAATAGAGAGTTTATTGTTGTTTAATTTCAAGAAGAGCTACTATAGGGCTATCTGCGCTAGCCGTCCTTAATTTAGAAGTGATAAGCTAGAGGGAAAGCAGCTAGTCAAAACCACAGCGAGCGTGTTCCGTAACGATATTCGAACACGCGATCCCAGATTGCGAGCCGAGTGCCCTATCCACCCCCCATAGAAATAAACTGAGTGTTATCTTTAAATAAATGGTGGGTGTATAGCTTATTTCGTGTTGGTTTTTCTCGTTTATTGAACTTGTGGTTTCGTACACATACTTTTGTTTACCTTTCGCACTACAACTAATATAAATAACCAACTCTCCCTCTTCCACGTTTGTTTTTAGATATACAATAAAAACAAAAGAAACATCTTATATTTAATAAAGTATATTTTACAAAATATCTAGTCAAATAAGAAACTTAAATAAAGAACACCAATAATTGGTATCAAATACAGAGGGTCAAGTACGTTAAATTAAAACGATTTTGGAACCTCACCACGTCACTAACCGTTTGTGTTGCCATGTTTGGTCATGCTTTATCCGACGACTGTGCATTTTGACAATAGTCCTGCAGCTTAGATTTCATTGCAAAATGCTCCGTTGCAACGCTGTCATGTCCAAAATATGCCACTAGTATTTGCCCACTTTCCATAATCCAGATGGCATACGAAAATGTCGGTTTCCCAGTGCTTGTTTCAATGAGCGATTCAGAGAAATTCATAGTCGTTGCATCGGTAGAGTTGACCAATATGTCTTTGAATGAATAACTATTTATTTCTCGAACTGCTTATATGCAACCGTTGAAAGGGAGGTGTGATTGGAAGTCTCATCTCGGTGAACTCATATCCTGTTGAAATCCTTCCCAGTCGGAGATCCTTTTTTTGATTATGTTGCGTATTGTTGCCTGAAGCACGCGAACGGCTTATGCCAGTGACCTTTGTGTACGTGGACTCTCATCTGTTAAAGAATTTGCTCATCATGATTGGGGGAAGATGTATTGCAGCTATGTTTCTGGATAGTCCAGATACCCCAAGTAGATCCATATTTTTTTTGTTTTCGGACCTAGCGCGGCCCAACAGTTAGCATGCTATATTGTGGACTGTAAATCACGTCCCGTTACCACCAAAAATAATAATTAAATTTACGTT